CACTGTCTTACTGACCACAAGGGGCCTGGCACTGATGAGCCCTGCTGTGGCACTCTGTCCCACGGCTGCCCTCAGTTCAGGCATTTACCCTACCTAATGGTGAGACTGAACAGAAGGAACTGGAAAGGGGGTCCAGAACAGATGTCAGCTGTCAGGTGGAATATCAACACTGTCACCTCAGAGCAAAGCACAACTGCACTACAACCTAGAGGCGAGGCAGTTCTTCAAGTCTGAAAACCCTCTAGAAACAAAGAGAATGTAGGCACATGAGCAGCCTGGGAGAGTCTAGAGATCAGCTAGCCAGCTGGACAAAGCTGTATATATTTCCAGGAATTTTTAATCTGACTAGCTATTTTTTCCCTCTCTGCAATACTGGGGACCAAGCCCAGGACCTCAAGCTAAGCAAGCACTCTCCCACTAAGCTATATCTCTGGCCTTCAGTGAATTTTAAAATGAGACCAGATGCTTTTGTGTACTCGCCCTCCTTCCTATGAGCTAGCTAGGCTACTTCAGGCCTGCAACATGATTGCCATGTCCTACACAAAGATCTAAAAGTCCAGCAGTGGGGGTGCTCTAGTGAGGCAGTCGGTTAACGCACAGTCCTTCGGTGGCCATCGGCAGTGAGGAACAAGTATAGAGAGGGTTCAGATAGGAATAAGGAGAATCTGGCTTGCCTCAGAAGGACAAAAATGAGTGGGGGTAGGGCAAAAACCAGACTTACATTAAAAGGTACTCTGCTAAAAAATTGAATTATAAAATCCATCATGGTCATTATTATAACAACATAAAAGGCGTTTCGAACAAAGTTTGGCTTGGACAACACTGATGATATTTCAGAGAGTTTGCTGTTTATAAATATATAAGTATGCATATGTACTTTTACAGCAACAGCTTCTGGAAGAACCAAGACTTCTTTGAAGCCCTTGTAGACACATCCCTTTCCATTCCAGCTGCTTCTATGCTGCAAACACCAGTAATTAAGAGCTGCCATAGTTTAGTCATCTCCACCCTGGCCTCCTTTTCAAGCCTGTCCCCAAGGGTGGAAATGTAGTAGATCTGCCTTAGATTTGATGCTGGGGGAAAAAAAAAAGAGAAGAAAAAGTTAGACAGTCATTGAGTCCCATGAAACAAGTTTATTTTCACACATTCAAATAAAGCAGTAATGGAATATTTATGTTCGACCCAGATGGCGAGTCTACTCAGAAATTATTAATATTTTACTACATAAGAAAATGCAGCTAAATGCTGAGTGCATGATCCATTTGGAAAGCAGAAGCTTACTTCCCTGACTTGTGGCTTATTGTCTATAAGTGTTCATAATTTAAGTGATAACGGAAGTACTTAAAATGCTACTCCTGCCACCAGCCCCTGCTCTCACACTCACTCACTGTTCTAAATTCAACACGGCCAGATTCAGGTGGTAATTTGCAGCACTCCACACTGAGTCAGGGCACTTAGGAGATGTGAAGGTCACATATTTCTGGAGTTCACATGATTAGTAACTGTACAAGTGAGTCTGCAAACAGTGGTGACCTGGAGCCCACAGATTCCTTCCGGGTGCCCTCTAGCACTTGTGGTAAATTTAAACTTAGCTTCAAAAAACTTTTAAGGAGGGTGTGAAGAAATCACTGACTGTCACCTGGTGTCTGAATGGATTCCCTTAACACTGAGCAGTGTGAGTGAATCAACAAAGTCTTTTTAGTAATCAGAGATTTCAAGGTATGACCTATTTTCTAGCAAAATGCTTAGCAAAGATAAAAGACCAGTCTTTCTCCTCTTGGTAGAATGCAGTATGACCAAAGAAACAACCTGCAGTCCAGAGGAAGGCATCCCAAGCCATTTCAGAGTTTCTTCTTTTTAAAAATTATTTCATGTATACAGGTGTTGCCTGTCTGTGCACTAAGTGTATGCCTGGTGCCAGAGGAGGTACCATGAAAGGGAGTTAGATCCTCTGGGATTAGGGTTACAGAAGGTTGTGAGCCACCATGTGGTTTCTGGGAATTGAACCAGGATCCTCTGGAAGAGCAACCAGTGGTCTTAACCACTGAGCCATCTCTCCAGCCCCTTGCTCAGATTTTCAACTAGACAGACCCAGACTACTGTCTTTTTCACATGGTGTTGTCAGGTGATTCACCCATCCTGGAGCTGGGACTATAACAGGGTCAGTTTTTCTTCCTTCTCCTTCGACAGGATCTGGATAGCCCAGGTTTCTTTCCAGCTGGCTTTGCAGCTAATAATGACCTTGAGCCCCTGACCTTCCTGCCTCTACCTCCGGAGTGCTGGGATAAAGGTGTGGACCCCCATGTCTGGTTATGGCTTTCATGAAAACATGGCATCAGAGCTAGCTGAGACTTCACAAAGCAGAGAAGAACCTCATGACATATAGGCACAGCTGCTTTTCTGATTTTTCGAATTGTTACCTGTGGTCACTTTCACACTGCTATCTTTCCTCATGGGATACACATGTTCTCAGGAGAAGAATCAAATTGTGATATTAACTTCTTCTGTGAACCAACAATGACAACTTCGTCACTCATTCTTGGTTTGTTTTGTTTTGCCTTTTTTGAGATAGGGTCTCTCTCTATGTAGCCCTGGTTGACCTGGAACTAGTTATGTAGACCAACCTCAATTCAAACTCACAGAAATCCACCTGCCTCTGCCTCCAGAGTGCTGGGATTAAAGGCATGCACTACCCTGCCTTACAGCTCAGTGACAGGGACTGCAGGCTGCAGCTGAGTCTCAGGGTGGTATTTAGACAACCAAGGAATTTGCTCAACATACTTGTGCTGAGTGTCCCTCTTTCAGAAGAGCACACACTCCAACTTATCATCAAATCCCACCTGTCACACATATTCCTCAGACTAAAAAGAAAGAGAATTGGACAGACAGAGATAGACCTACCCAAAAGCTTCAGAAGGGCAAAATGGTTTGGTTTATTTATTTATTTATTTATTTATTTATTTATTTATTTTTGGTTTTTCGAGACAGGGTTTCTCTGTGGAGGCTGTCCTGGAACTAGCTGGAACTAGCTCTTGTAGACCAGGCTGGTCTTGAACTCACAGCAATCCGCCTGCCTCTCCCTCCCGAGTGCTGGGATTAAAGGCAGGCGCCACCAACGCCCGGCTCAAAAATGTTATTTTTAAAACTCTACTCCAGAGAGCTTATATCTAAGTCATCATTACTGTCTGACCTCGAGGTGCCAACAATGCTGAGTGATTCATTTCCACATGCCAGCTAACTCTAAAACCCAACTAAACTCTAATTTTAGAGCTAAGGATCAATTTTGGCTGGCATAATGACAGCGCTTTTAGATTTCTGGCCTACTACTCCAGCTTTATCTAACATGAAAGGAAGGACAAACTACTTGGAAGATCCCGGGGCACTCTGCAGAGGACTCTAAAGAGATGGCTTTCAATAGCACGAAAGCCAGTCTCATTTTGTAGACAGAAGTTTTTGTTTTGCTGGGGTTACATGACACTACCAAACCTAGGCAAGGACTCTACCACTGAGCCACATACCCTAGAAGAAGTCTTGTTGTTTAGTTTACACTGTTGTTATTTATCCACATGTGTGTGCTCATGTAGGTGTGCAGGTCACAGCATATGTGTGAAGGTTAGCAGACAACTTTCAGGAGTCAGTTCTCCCTTCTACCATGTGAGTTCCAGGTATTGAACTCAGGTCATCAGGCTTGCTGGCAAACACCTTTATCTGCTAAATCATCTCATGGGCCCAAGACTGACACCTGTGACTAAGGGCAGAAGACAAATGTGGAAGAATATTCTCACTTTGTCTCTACACATGGTCTCCTTCAAAGTCCTGGAGTAACAGTGTCAAATACATTTGTACAAATATGGCTTTCCCACGTGAGCATTAGTCCAACCTTTCCACATTATCAGTATCAACAAGATGTTGACTTGTTGTTCTGTGTTGGGGCTTATAGGCTCCAGACAGATATTTGAGATGCCTCTGGGAAGCCCCAGGACACAGTGGCCTGGATTCACACTGGTTAGGTCATCATGTCCCTATGTGCTAAGCTAGGAAGAAGGAGCATGTGATGGAAGCCCTGCATAAGATCATGTTCAAGTTCACTAGCTGCCAGAAAATCCATACCCCACAGAAGCGGGGCTTTACCAAGTTTAATGCAAGTAAATCTGAAGACTTGGTGGCTGAAAAGTAGGTCATCACCCATGTCTGTGGCATCGTAGCACACTCTTGGCTCTTACAGGGTTACAATATCTCCTGAATCATTCTCAGCAGTAAATATTATACTTTACCCAAATAAATAATTTGAAATTTTATATGAAAAGTCTGGATAGACATCGAAGGGACGTTAGGAAACAAGGGAACAATTCTACTGCCTGAAGAGACCAGGATAGATGTGAGAAAAACGAATATTCTGGGGTGCTTAGCTGAGACAGACAGACCGATTTTCCAAAGTTCTTTTTGCCTCTTCCTGGCCCCAGGGATCCAAGATCCAGACATAAGACTCTAGGGCAAAGCTCACTGTGTACAAGGCCACAGCCATAAGACTAAGCCTGGGGACCAGAACACAGCTGGGGTGTCTGGACATTACCCCACCACATTCCTTATCAGCAAGTCAGAGTCCACACAAGTCTGGTCCAGCACTGACCTGCTAAAGCAGAGATACTCAGTATGAATTAGTCTAAAATGAAGTACTCCTAACTTTAGCACTCTAAGCAAGATTTAAAAAAAAAAAAGCAAAATAAGCCAAATCTAGGGGCTTATTCCTATAATCCCAGAAATAGGGAGGCAGAGGTAGGAAGACCATACCAAGTTTGAGCTCCAGACCAGTCAGGGCTGTAGAGTGAAATCCTGTCTCAAAAAACAAAAATAAAAACCAAAACTAAACAAACAACAAACAAAATCCTAAATACGTAAAAGAAGAAATAAATAAAATAGCTGTTTCTGGGGGCAGAGATCTGTCATCTAGGCCACGAGGGAGGCAGAAGCAGGAGATTGAAAGCTCAAGGCCTGCCTGGCTACAGCGCAAGGTCAGCCTGGGCAAGACCCTGTGTGAAAAAAAAGTGAAAAAGAAAAACGCTATGTACAGCTCAGGGGCAGAGCACTTGCCTAGCACACACAAAGCTCTAGGTTCAATTCTCATTAACACACAAATAATACATGCACTTAAGCCTACATTTTACCTACGAGAGAAAACATGATACTTGTTTTTCTGAATTCTAGCTTATTTCACACAACATAGTGGTCTCCATTTCTATCCATGAACATCCAATTGCATTTTTCTTCATGCACAACAGAATTTGGTTGTGTATGTGTATAGACTGCATTTCTATATCCATTCCTCTAGTGATGTCCACAGTATGGCAATAAACACAGATGTATAAAATCTCTGTGCTGTGTTTCCTCAGAGTCCTTCAGGAGCAGTACAGTCGGAAAATATTTGTAGCTTTTTGAGGCTCCTCCTTACTGATCCCCAGTTTATCTAGCATAAAGGACCTGGCTTCACTCCCTGTCATCAAGAGAAGTGTCCTAGACAAACCAAGGAGATCGAGCCTGTGTGTTCCTCCACCGACAACGTACAATTTGTCATGCTGAGTTGTGATCTAGTTATGAGAAGGTTTATACCAAGTGTGAGGAAATAATGAAGGGCTTAAGACTGTAGAGCAGGAACTAAGAAGGCTCAAAAACAACACGATCCAGAGTCCAAGTGGAACCGTCATGTCTACTCATTACCTTTTTCATTAATTCACTTCTGGTTGTAAACTGTGGCAGGTCTTCCACTTCAATCCCATCAGCCATTTCCATCACCTTGTCCAGAAGATCTTTATTGTAACTGCACAACAAAAAGCAGTAAGGTAAAAACCTGGGAAGACTCACTGTCACTATGGACTAAAAAGAAAGTGTAGTTTCTTAGACTGTAAATGCAACTTCTAGACTACAGAACTGTTTTTCATTGGTCACGTCATACCATGCCATCTGAGGTTTAAGCAATGCTCTTTTCAGCCTTCTCGGTAACCGGGACTACAGGGACACACCACTATCTGAAGTTTTGCAAGTTACTGACTTGATACTGCAGGGAAAACTACATTGTTCAGCACATGGTTAACAAGTGGCTCTCCCCACTTGTGGATATAGCACTAGGCTTGAAGAATGCCAATATAGCAGATGTTTGAAGAATTATAAAATCAGGGACTGGAGAGATGGCTCAGCAGCTAGGAGCACTTAAGGCTCTTTGCAGAGGACCTGGGTTCAGTTCCCACATGGCTAGAGTTTCAGTTCTCAGAGATCTGAGGCCCTCTTCCAGTGTCTGAGGATACTGGGTACATATTTGTTACCTATTAATACACATAAAATAAAAATAAATAAAAAGTCTCTCTCTCTCTCTCATTACAAAAACAGGAGCAGTTAAGAGCACTTGCTGCTGGGCATTGGTGGCACACGCCTGTAATCCCAGCACTCGGGAGGCAGAGGTAGGTGGATCTCTGTGAGTTCGAGGCCAGCCTGGTCTCCAGAGAGAGTGCCAGGATAGAAAACAACAACAACAACAACAAAAAAAAACAAAAAAATAAAACAAAAAAAACAAAGAGCACTTGCTGCTCTTCCAGGATCTAGTTTCAATTCACAGCACCTACATGGTGACTCACAACCATCTGCAATTCCAGTTCCAGGGAATCCAATGCCCTCTTCCGGCCTCCACCACCATCAGGCACTCACAGTGCAGACAGATGTGTAGACAAAACACCCATACATACAAAATTTAAAATAGTTGTAAATAAATAAAATTACAAAAACAGGAGCAGCATACATCAGGTAGTACATATTCATGGATGAGATCTGAGGGCCAAAAATTTGATTATTTTTAAAACACACAGAATGTTGGTCTAATGTTGGTTCTCAATTATTTGTATGACCTTGGCTCCTGTAAACTCCAATTTTAGAGGGTGAAGGCAGAAGGGAGAGTGAAGCATATATGTGTGATGGGTGTGTCTGGCACAGCTTCCCCACATCTTATTCTAACAAATATGTCAAGATCTGAAACCAAGTACCTTCAGGGTTGGAGATATAGCTCAGTGGTAGAGTACTTATTTTTGATATGTGCAAGTCTGGGGTTTCATGCCTAACACAAAACCCAAAAAGAAAACCAAGGAGTTTGTCCTGGAGGGGCCATGTGACCAGTTAGGCTACGAAGATCAGATCTGAGTCAGGTAATCCTATTTTAACACAACTTCAAGAAACTGTAGAAGACAATAAGAGCTTGGAGATGCATGCTCAGTATATGAAATTCCAGGACTACCTGGCTACATAAAAAACCGGAGGCCAGCCTTAGTTATAAAGGATGATTGCCTTAAAAAATTTTTAAAAAAAACAAAACAAAAAACCATAAGGGAGTGTAAAAACCTGGTGCATTTTCCCGGTGGAGTAAAAGAAGTGCCTTGTCAGAAATCTCAAGGCCAGGCTCTTGTCGTCCTGGTGTGATCGCAAAAGTTCAGGGGGGCTTTGGAGCAGCAAGAAAAAAGCATCGTTACTTTCTTAAGGAGGAAAATTAAGAGGAAAAGATTACATCCTGCCTTAGCGGTGAAATCCACCAACCAACGGTGCGATGTATCACATCCTCTCTTGCTAGGTGTCTTAAACTAGAGGAGGTGGGGGAAGTTTCAGTTTCCGTCTGCACTTTTGTGTGTGACAGGAACTAATGGGCTTCGAGCACTCTGCAAAGGCAATCTTCTGGGCTCATAAACAGTACTAAAAAATGCCCATGGCAATACAGCCGCCTTCCAGCCTACCTGCACTGCACTCTACATCATTTAACTGCTGTAGTCATCACAGCCATCCATTTACCAGAGGAAAGAGAGGCTCACAGAAGAGACACATCTTCCCCGAGGAAATGCTAAGAGGGGATCAGCCAAGGCAGGAGGAGGTTGGGCCGGAC